CCCTCCCCTGTTTTTGCTTAGGCAAAAGCCGCCCAAGGGTGTATCGCGCGCGGCAGTGGTCCTATAGGAGATTGATAACCTGTCCCAACGCGTAACGCACGCGGCAAATCTCCCTCCCCCTGTTTTTGCTTAGGCAAAAGCACCGAAGAGTGTCTCGCACGCGGCAGTGGTCCTATAAGGGAAAGCATTACGGTCGTGGGAAACTTTTATACCACACGAATTGCCTTTATCGTGGAGATTGAGCACGATATTCTTGAAACAGCACTTTAGGTAATTTTCTGCCAAGGTTTCAGGCAGGTTCATGATTTTTACCTGCTGCCACGCGAAATTACTACGATATTCGTCATCAGCGGCTTAAATAACCCCCATATACCGAGTTTGAGCAAGATCCACCTCAAAAACAATTTAGGGCCCGGATAGCCGAATAACGCCATCAGTTTTTAGAATTATCCTTACTTTTATCGATTTTAATGTTGTTGTTTTTTTTTGCAAATTTGAGCTGCGGGGCTGGGGGATTGGTGAGGAAGGCAGGTGAGCATACTGATCACTCACACAGCGGGAATAGAGAATAGCTTGTAGAAGTGTGCACAAGTAAAAGTGTACAGGAATAGAAATGGAACCTTTATCGTTTTTGACAGGGCCGGGCGGAGCCGGGTAAGCCAGCTAGTTTGGAATAAGCATTGCATGGCCAGAACAATCAGTCATTCCAAAAGGTTAATGTAAACTGATGAACTGATGTAATCCTGCTGATCTTGCACGCTATAAGCTTGTCAATATGCGATTGTACTGTAAGAGCAGAGTAGTGTGTTATCTGAAGACCGTTTGCCAAAATTTCACAACTGAGCAGACTTGCATGTATAAGCTTTGAGAGATCCCATTCTCGCCCATGACGCCGCCAAACCACATGTAAGAAAGGTGGCTCTTACAAAAGGAGTTGACTGCACACCGAGGTTCCTGTTCATTTTCCGAACTCTTTAGACCTTCCTTTACCAATCACCAAATTTTCTAATTCCTCGGTGCCTAGTAAAAAATAATAGGACCCAATAAAGATCAGCTAATCAAAAACCCTTTTTAGGTTTTATTGATTCCTCTGAGATTATTTCGCAAGAAGAAAGTACAAGAGCACTACAAGAGTGTTCCCAGAAATTTGCTGAACACACTGCCATTTATTTGATGGAAAAAGGTTGATTCTGGAAAAAATTATGCTTGTTTGAATTTGAAGGTGCGAAAACGAATAAACTTTCCAAATGACTTGATATTTCCATGAATCCGGAAAAGTGTGTCTCGTGCGCTCGTCCATCCGCTCTTCATGATATTCGTTCAGACCTAACCATGTTTTAGAAAATGTGTATGCTCCTTTCATTACAGATACGGAACTACGCAGCGGCTTCCTGCAACACATGAGGTGTGACGATAATAACGAAGAGAGAATGAACGAGCGCACAAAGACCCATATATAGGCTGCTGCATGACGAAGGCGCAATATCTTTGGACGCAAACGCGGCTCTATTAGCCGCAGAGCGGGTGAGACGCAGATTTACAACGATGAAGATACGCGCGCACCGTATTCGCGCCCGCTCAACTAATACTGGTTCTGCGCCTAAGCCATGCAGTAACCTTTACCTATCCTAGCTCCGGTGGCCATTTCTAAAACTCATATAAGTAGCTTTCAAAAACTTCGCGACCGTTGGGGAAAGGGAGGGGCGCCCCCTCTCCCTCCTCCTTCACCCCTCGTCGGACGGACTGCGGTCGCCACTGCCTAGTTCCACCAGAAGCACTTCATGCAAAAAAGTATGACATTCGTGAACATGCCGATAATCTCGATGGGCCAAGTTTGAGCGAAAGTCATAGCTTCGACATTTTCGGCCGCGATACTGCAAGCGACCCAAATCATATACTAATTTGATCATATTTCTCTTTGTTGGCAAGATATCCTCCGTGAAGAGTCATTTATTCATCCTTTATGGCTGCATCAGCTTTCGGCTTCAAGTTCAAAGCAGCTTCGAACCAACATATCACCCTCCTACGGATTGAAACGCTCGAACTTTAGCAACATACGATGACAAATGAGATAAAGCTTCCATTTCCCAAACTGAAGGCAGTATCCGAAAAACGTCGGGATGCTGGAATTTTCACACTATGCAGTGAACACTTCTGCCGGACCAGTGCGCAAAACCTAAGGAGGAGGATAAGGCGCAGAGTTACAAAGGTAGAGATATCGCGCGTTTTGGCTGACTTAACTATTAGGTTGTCTCATAAGTCTCAACATTTATGAGTTGTCGCTGTGTTAAGTTAAGCATTTCTTGTTCTAAATAGACACCAGGATGCCATTCGATAGAGCAAAGCAAGCTCTATAGGCGTTTACGCTTTTGCACCAGCTTCGATCCGCTCCAAGTTTGAAACCGGAATCTAAGGCCCGTATGCACGTACATCCCCGCTGGGGAGGAGAGGGGATCTGAGAGGGGATGCGTCATATCTCGCTACTCTAGGTATCTTTCTTCTTCCTTCTCTATCTGGCTTATGAAGGTTCCCATACCCTAATAATTGCGCATAATTAATGCCAGGTTACTGGCATAATTGATCAGATTTTTACTATTTTGTGTGATCCACAGGAGATCCCCAGGGGATCCCCGGGGATCACTTCTTAATTTCAGTGCCATTTATCTTGCTGAAAACTCAATGAAACGCTGTGAAATTGTACTATGGATATACTACGGCACTGCTAAAGACGTTTATAGTAGAAATAAGTGAAATCTCAGAATATCGAATTTTTCGGTAATCCCTGGCTCGAAAGCTAGGGATCATCGAAAAATTCACAATCTTCAGATTCCATTTCTCCTGTCGAAAATCTGCCTAGCAGTGCCGTAGTATATCCTCAGTACAATTTTGCGGCGTTTTCATTGACTTTTCAGAAAGATGAATCGCTTTGAAAATGAGAGGTGATCCCCAGGGGATCCCCAGGGGATCACACAAAATGGCAAAAAACCAATTTTGTATGGAAGTAACCTGGTATCCATTATATGCAGGTATAAGCGTATGAAAAACTTCATAAGCAAGATAGAGAAGGAAGAAGAAAGATAGGTAGAGTAGCGAAATATGACGCATCCCCTCTCAGATCCCCCCCTCCTCCCCAGCGGGGATGTACGTGCACACGGGCCTAAAAAGTTTTGGATGCCCAGAAAACTGAAAATTTTTATATCTTCGATCAAAAAAGTAACGCACATCTTTCACTTGCTCCCGCATATCTCCACCACAGACACTCATATGTGCTGTTGCTGCAATTTTTATTAGCTAGAAATCAAGAAAACGAAATTTTCCATGTTTTTACCAAAGTGTTGCCGTGCTGTTTTTAGACTGAAGTCTGTATACTACAAGCCCTTGGAAATCAGCCGTAAATTTTTTGCTCTCTATAGTCTGCCCCAATCCCAACCAGGCCAAAATTGGCATGGCGGGAGCCCGCGCCGCTAGGTCTTCGCGGTCACGCCCACGGTCTGCTTCTCTGCTCTCTCTTCAATCCCTTTGCTTTCTCCGACAGCGCGCATATGCAGCGCAGACCACTAGCGCTGCGAGCGCGCAAGCTTGCGCCGGCGGTTCGGCCTGATCTCAAGTGGAGCAGACTGTACAAGTTCTAGTTCCCCAGAAATATCGAATTTAGCTTTCCTCACTCGAGTTTTTCACTCTAATCAACATTTCTCGGAAGCCAGGGCTTATAGAAAGCTGAAAACTTACGGATGTACTTCTAGAGGCTTGTAGTATTCAACTATCGGTGTAAAAATAGCACAGTATCAATTTGGTAAAAACATGGAACTTTTCGTTTTTTGATTTCTACCCAATAAAAAGTAACAACATATACGAGTATCTGATGTGGAATGTATATACGTGAGCGAGTGAGAGATCTGTGTGATTTTTTGAATAAAGATAGAAAAATTTTCTGATTTTCTGGGTATCCGGAACTTCTTAGATTTTGGTTCAAAACTTGAGGTGGATCGAAGCTGATGCAAAAGCATAAACACCTTCTTATAGAGCTTGCTTTGCTCTATCGAATGGCATTCTGGAGTATATTATAAGAGGTGTATGACTTATCACAGCGAAAACTCGAAAATGGGACTTATGTGACAACCTAAAATATTGCTTTTGCGTTCAGGTCCGCCATAGCTTTCCATGGCCGCGACCATGCATTTGCGCAAGTACGAAGCTGTAATGGCGGAATAGCAGCGAGCAAACCGCTCAGGAAAATGAGAGCCAGAAAATCACTTCAGAAGTCTGTATACACACCTGATAGGATAGTTTCGTTACCCATCAATCTTCACTGATGTTACAGCCATACTCCAAAGCTATTGCTGCACCGGCTTCTCCATACATAAATTGGCGCCAGGGCAGCAATAGCTCTTCTTATATATCCTTACACTTTAGTGAAGCAATGCTGAGAACAGTGCCTCTGTGGCTATTTTGGCCTAACACTGTCTATGTAGTCGATTGAAAAGTGGATGGATAACTTAAAGTATGCCAAACTGAGAGAGCCGCACTGCTAAGCAAAGTTCAAAGTCAAGAGTCTTCAGGCAAAATTTCACTTTCTTTACCTTGCCAGTTTTCAGCATAATCTCCTTTTCCTTCCGTCAATTCAAATAGACATCGTTTCGCAAAAGACCACAACATCCCTTCAACTTCGCCTAAGATGGAAGCAGAGGTAAAGCAAAGTTTGTGTAGATATGGCTTTCAACAAGATCCGGCACAGATCGTCTGGAAGCAGGCGAGACTTCGTTTTCGGGGCTAACAAGCAAAGGGTACCATTTTTGTGGATTCGAAAAAACGCAAGTTATGTTAGGTTTTTTGGTCGTTTCTGATAAGAGTCAAAGGGGACTCGTTTTCAAAAAACCTAGAAAGGGACTCATGCCGAGCCCGCTATGAATGAAATTATTCAAGGAGCAGAGACTTTGATAATAAACGAATCTTTTACATAAACTCTGCAAAAGGACACCTCATACCCTTCCTTTGCAAGTGTGCAAACGTACCATCAGGTTATACATGTGCCATGAAGATTAAGTAAGTTGGCAAAACAATTTACTGCACATCTCGATAAACAGCACATATTCTCTTGTTTCCCGCAAACAATATATAACTCTGATAGAGGACACAGATCTAACCCTTTGATTGAAGTACGGAATTACCCGCACCCAGTTTTCGACAACACACAAAAACCTAGCGAAAAGAGACGAGATGAATCACAGAGGAATGTTACTAGCACTGATATAAACACAAGTATATACAAAAAAAAACCAGTAACTGGTTCAGGTCTTGAAAAGAGAGATGACGATATATTAGGCATTTGAAAGATCACAGGCGAAGATGAAGAATCTATGAAAGACTTGTACTACACCGCGGTTTGAGTACCCTCACCGGGACCACCGTGAGTTCGAGATTGCTGAAAATGAAAGATTGGTACACTCAACTCCGATCAAAGAAGTTGCTAAATGATAAAATCGAACACGTACCAATGCCAAAGGCAAATATTAAGTTAAAACTGACACCAACGAAACACTAGACGGATTCTTTGAATATCATGAACAAACTCTTCTGTAAATTTTAGAAGGATAGATAGAGGCTATGCGCCGGCCTTCTTAGTTATATATTGACCAAAAACGAGAACTTGCCTTATTCATTTCGCTGTAACGCATTTTCTGCGTGTGCCCATCGAAACGTTTGTATGTAAAATCGACAAATTCTCCACGATGACCGGGTTGTTCCTCTGGTTTCAATTTCTGCGGAGCCGTGTCAACAGCTTCAACAAAAAAAAACGCGAGATAAGTGATGTTCAACTGTTGACATAAAAACGTACGCCATCTCATGTCCACTTCCGGGAAGTCATCAAAGTTGCTAGTATCGTCAATGCTTTTCACTTCGACCCTTATTGGTGCTGGTCGCTCCCTAAAAATTCGCGAAGTTTACCGAAAAGATTCAAACAACGACATGATGCAGAACAATTTTTCACATCAATCTGAGCGTCACTATGACCTGAGTCGCCTAATCCGCATCAAAAACACTAACGGAAATGAAATGTCCAAAATCATACTCTAATTTACACAAACCAGATAGATTCATCAAGAACAATTAACGTCTTAAAGCACACCTGATATGGTTCCAGTCAATTCTTCTGAAAAATATGCATTGCTTGATTTCCTCAAGACCTCCATTATGACCCATGCGTCTCTCTGGCTCGCAACAGAAACGTTTTATTGTCTAAAAACACTCGCTTATGTGTTATTCTTCCCATGCAACAAAACTCAAAAAAGTCACCGTTTTCGCGTCAACGCTAATGGGCATCTCCGGTGGAAATACCAGAGTTTGCTGCCAGTTTACAACCTTCCTATACGTTTCTTGTGGCGTTTCAGAGCAGAATGGCGGATAACCTTGATATGTGACAGTGAATTATAGTTTGCAATGACAGTAAGCAGATCCACCCACAATGAATGAGACTATTACAATCCAAACACATTACATAAATGTCCTACCGATAAGCATTTCGTAAAGTATCACACCAAGGCTCCACCAATCGCAGCTTTTCGTGTACCCATTTGGCTGAAACACTTCGGGTGCGATGTAGTCAGGGGTGCCAACGGTAGAGTAGGCCTAAATTTCCAAGATGTACGCATAAAAGAGGAGCAATTGGCAACGATAGATCTGAGATGATATAACCTACGTAGGCTCTGCGATTCTTCTTCCATGTCTCAGCCTTGCGTTTGGACTCGACGGGTTTCGAAACGAAATCAGGTGGAAGTTGTGAAGGCCAGTTCCTAAGACCATATATGAACATGGATAATAGAAAGCCTACATTAAACTATGAGTTTTGATATCACCTGTAGTGCTCAGTGCGGTGGATTTTTTTCAACCCAGTGCATAGCCCGAAATCGGAGAGCTTCACATGGCCCTGAATATCGTATATCACATAATCAAATTGCTTTTGTTGCTCTATTTACCCTGGCATCCAGAAGAAGATTGTCAGGTTTGATATCTCTATGTATAAAGTCGAGATTATGAATAAACTGGATAGCAAGGGCCGCCTCAGCGATATAGAATTGCGCTGCTTCTTCACTAAGCGTGTCCTTCTTGATTAGTAGCGTCATCATGTCACCTTGATAAAACATAGCTGCTTCTAATAAATTGGGCATTCACTATGCTCACCACCAGGCAGAAACTCCATCACAAGATACAAATTAACGAAGTCTTGGAATGAATAATACATCTTTACAACCCATTCACAATCAGCCTCGGACAGTATATCTCGCTCGGCACGGACATGAGCAGTCTAGACGTATATACTGAGTGGCCTAGTTAATAACAAAAAGTAAAAAGCTGTACCTGCTCCTTCTCCAGCATTTCACTCTTTCGCAAGATTTTCATGGCATAGATGTGACCACTGTCAATTTTTTGCACTAATCGGACCTAAAAAGGAGTTATCAGTCAGCTACGCCGCTATAAACTGACATACAAAATGATCAAACAAGTTGTATAAATTCTCATAGAGTCTACTTCGGCACAAAGGAACATTAGTTAAGTTACGAAAAAACATTGGAAAACATAGCAAGATATAATGAATGAATATGAACAAAACAACATCATTACCCTCGACGTCAATCCCTAAGTTACATTTCCAAATTGGAGGTGTGGTGCAGCCGCCTCGCTTTGCGCTCGCGTCACGTTGCTGGGGCATCGTTTAGACGTGATGTGGAGCTAAAAACAACGTGGCGCCACAACATGTTCAAACGTGGCAACAAGAACAACGTTTCTTTGTTGCTCCTGTTGCCACGCCATGCCAACTCATGCGCTTGCAAGGTGGCGCGAACCCAAAGCGAGGCGGCCTCACCACAACACTCCACTTTGCAAATGTAACTTAGGGATTGACGTCGAGGGTACCTTACCTCTCCAAATGCGCCACGACCAATAACTTTGAGGCTCTCAAAATCGGTCACATGCAATCGAGTTCGTTTCAACCGAAGAAAATCAGTCTCCTTTGAATGCTGCACTCTTCGCCGTTCTTCTTTTTCGTCTTCACTTATTCCTGAATATTATCAACGGATCATCTTGTAATGGTGATTCAAACACATTAATATACCCTCGGCGGCCATTTTCTCTTCGAGTTTTTTAGCTCGCGAATCTCGCTCAACAGCTTGAGTTACAGTTTGTGCATAGAATGACTCGATGGCAAGCCTTGTCCGACTTGCTTTGTCCCTCATATACTGCGAGATAACCGGCTTTTCCGTCATTTCTAAATCTATCTCAAGTTAAATGCAGAATTTCAAAGGGCTGAAGCGGAGAAGATTAAGATGACAGTTTGCCAAACAAAGGGGGTAGACCTCACGATCAGCAAGAAACTCTGGCGTGCAAGACTCATAATAGTCAAGAATGAAGTATGAGATCGAAACAAATGAATGCATCACGGCAGGGAAAAAGGGAGGGCAAGCGTTAGGCGACAAAACGTGCAAAACGCAAGCAACGTAAATTCCGTAACTCGAAACTATGCACCATTTTTTCATTGGCATCGGGTATTGTATCGGCCCCGACCCCCACCCCCCCCCCTGTTTTTGGCGGAGGAGACGTTTTGCACGGGGAGTTCTTTGGGGTCCAAAAAATTGCGTTTGTCGCCTAACGCCCTACACCCGGGAAAAAGGCACACACAGGAACAATGAACTCCTCAACCGCCAAAAACAGTGATTTCGTTTCATTGTCTATGCAATTCCATTGTTGAATATGCATGCTGATCAACAACAAATACGCGTAAATGCTTTAAAGGAGAAAAAACTTATGCGAATATGCGTGAACTCAGCTGTTATGAGAAAATTTCCTGTCACTGCAGCGCGCTCGCGCCACGGTTGCGATTGGAGCGCGTTAGCTTTTCGCAAAGTTGGTTGTTCACAGCCGCGTTTCCTCATTCTTAGCGTAAACAATGCTTCTTTCATCCCTAGAAAACTTGTAATCCAAAATCCTGTGGTAAATGCATGAGATGAGAGGAAAAGGTCAACTTCGATGTTGCAATTGTGCAAAAATGGGGTGTTATGGCGTCCTTGACTGAGTCATTGTGCGCGGGAGCATTAGTAGAGATCGGCATACCATTTCGGACTCAGCGAACGACACACATGATGCCGCTGACAATGGCCGTAGTTTCCGGAGTGCAGAGTAGAGCCATGACGTGCTGACTGTGTGCAGCTCCCGTGCTATTCGAGTACGACCGGACGGCGTTGGCGAGTCCCTCCCACAGCTTTCGCGCTCGTTGCCGTTGTGTTCCAGCAATGCAAGCGATTGCCGAAGCTATTCGGGAGCAGATTTTGTCGATTCTATCCTACATTGACCCAAACGACGATATCAAGGAGCTGGTTCACAACACCATTCTGGATCATTGCGGACTTTTGCAGAAGGTGGGACTTTTGAGACATTATTCGAGGATTACACCGTAGTATGCTGTACCATGTAAAACCTCTGTTTACTCATCTGTATAAGTCAAGGCATCTCGACCTTACAAACAAGAGTAGCTACCTCTTCCTTCCTTGAAATATGAATCCCAAGTTACCGAAGCGTGCAATAATATCGTTTGACAATAAGTACCGCTTCATTAGGCGCAGTCAATCCGTCCCTCTCCCTATTTGCTATGTTATGTCTGGAAAATGTTCCCGCTTGGTGATGTCTTTGGAGCGTCGATTACTCGTCAATTCCAGCAATTTTCCTAACTAGATGAAAACATAGGACCTTCCCAATGGGAAAGGCTCAAAAACGTTGTACAGTTTTTATGGAAAAGGGTAGAGACCTGAAATTTGCGGGGAAGAATTCTTAATTAAAACTAGAGGAGTTTAAGCAACTTTCTCCACCACTAGCGCGTCTGACATCCTTCTTGAAAACTACGAATTTATTTATTCATAATCTTCGCCGTCACATGCATTTGTTTTCTATTTTTCCTGACTTCCTGCATTTTTCCTTAATCGAATCAAAAAATCCAGGCGTCAGCAATTTTCTGCAAACGCATATGCACAGTTGCTTTCATTCTTTGCCGGCTCGAGTTCCTCAAGTGATTGCCTCCACTATATGTACCTGTTCTTGATCGATGCATAAATATCGCAACCAAAAGACCTGTTCTCTTCAGGAAATGTAGCTAATATCTGCTGTTTACTATGAGACACTGAACTTTGAAAAAATTTGCTATTCTTGGAAAAAGAAATCGTGCGAACCCTGGCGGTTATTCTTGCAATCAGCTGTCTCTCTTTCAGGCATGAGCATTGTTTATTTTTGCTTTGGCCTGTTTCACATGCGGCCATTCAATAAGTGCAATGCAAAATGTTATTTGTTTGCTCTTCCAAAAGCCCAAATGTGGAAGAAAAAAGCCTATTGCGAGTTCAAGTCGTAGAAAGAGAAGTGAGAGAAGTGTGCTATATGCATGGAACTGAAAAGAAATTGCACCCCATCTTTTAAGTGGACTCGAAAAAATATCAGAAGTCTCGTTAGAGTTTTGTGCTATATTGGTATGCTATGTACGACTTGTATGTAACATGAATCCTTGTGTTCTATAACGCTCCGCTCCACATTGCAAGCATTAACAACAAAGAGCTCCTTTTATTGTTGGTGGCATTTCCAGTGAAGCTGGATTCCACTTGAGGATACAGATCAGCAAGACCTAAGTAATTTTATGACAACAAGCATTTTCGATTTAAAATCTTTTTGGATGTTAATCTCGTTCGCGCAATGTTTTTATAGACCTCCATATGCAGTCAGGAAGAATCCTCTCCAGAACAATGTTTATAATCTAGGGTTATACATGATACGTTGTGCTATAATATAGTTGAATCAGAAGGAGATTCAACACCCCAAACAGTCACAGAGTCCCATTTTTGGATATTACGTTGAACCTGCCAGCGATAAGACGGAGTTGTAGAATCTCTTTGCATATCCAAAACGGAGTTGTAGAATCTCTTAACTGCATATCCAAAACATTCATAATCTGTGATTCTGTAATTCATTCACTCAGCGTCGACTTATTCGAGCACCTTTTCGGGGTGCTGATTCAACCTATGGAATGTCTTTGTTTCATAGAACTTCTTTTGTCACATTTGGTTCGTTTCACAGCTACCTTTGTCTCTACATGAATGTACACGAAATCATTTCCTTTGATTAATGCATTTTCCTGCCTCGCTGGTTTGAGGTGAAGGTCACATGTACAGAATACATAATAAGTAAAATGTACACGGTTTACACATGATGGGTAAGAGACTACAGCTCTCCATCAGTTTTTGTTCGTACACTTTTTAGACACCGTATTGCACCGAACATTACTGAAAAACTGCCATGTGGTATTCCGTAAAAGTTTTAGTCAGCGAAAATTTTCGGGTAATCATATGATGCGTCATAATATTGTTTGATAAATGATAATATTGATTATCTGATTTCAATTTTGAAATTCTTCATCAACTTATCGCATCCTCTGAGGTATCCCGCAGGGCCGCGAGACCTTTTGTGACGGAAAATAGCACTGCATAAACAAATGCAGACGAATGAATTGAAAGCCAATTCGGGATTCTCTTTAGACAATACTTTTTTAAAAAAACGTTCCCAACTGACATACGAAAATCTTTATTTATCAAGATATTATCGCGTCAACCTTAATTATTGAGCTGTTTACTAAGTTTTGCAACTGAATCCGCAACTTTTGGTTTCTTGTATTGGCACGCTCATTTTTTTAATGTATAGGTTGCCTTTGGAGCTACGAACTGGCACAAACTGCTTTCTTTTTGATGACGAAATAGAAAAAAATTCAAGGAATTTTCGAAAACTACTGAAATCCAAAGATTTATGGGATTTTGAGTAAAAATGAAGAAGTTCTCAATTTAGGTCACGCACAACGATCCGAAATGTTAAATTTTGCTAAAGCTTGATTTATGTAGCTCAATAAGAAAGAAATGAGATTAGAAAACAACTCGAGATTTGGAATCCTCACAATGTTTTCTGAGCCGTTGTACGAAGCTGATTGGGGACAAGCGTCAATGACCAAAGAGTCAGAATCTCAAAATTCGCAGAAACTTTGATTAGTGGGATTATTTGACCCGCCAAACACGAGTATCATATTCGTTAGTTGAATTAACGCCTCTTTTCTTGTTTAAAGTGAGATCCCATACCGTATACCTACAGTAATCGTACCAAAAATCCCTCACCATGCAATTTTAGTATTGTATTCGTGATGAGCATGTTGGATAATCCCTCTACGTCAAGTTTCAGCCAATTCTGTAATATTCTTTTTAAATTTCTCCCCTTAGGGGACGAGTGGCGTAGTGGTATGAGGCGCCGCTATGACCAGATCGGACACAGGTTCGATCCCCGCCCCTGGGCCAACCAAGCCCTCTACCCTCCGGGGCCAGTAAATTGGTACCAGAGTAACCTGGGAGGATAAAAGCACTGACTTGGAAACGGCTGGCCCCCGCAAGTCACTGTAATAGGCTCGCACGCATACAATTGCCTCTTCGATTATGAAGTTAGTGTGTGCGTTCGGCGCATGCCCTCAGAGGGTATTGAAGACGCCGAATCCTTTATCCTTTATCCTTTTAATTTCTCCCCTTTACCATATACCTACCGCAACCTTAAAGGCAGTGTCCGGGCAAGATGGGGGTTTTGAGATTTCTCTGCCATGTGAGAGTGGCCCCCCTGAGACACAACATCGCGCAACTGCGAGCATAAAACGTTCGACCTAAAGCAAGAAAAACAATTGCAAAGTGGGGAAACTTACGCCTTGGGGCGGGGTCCTCCGAGCTGTTTGAATTCCTGCCAGACGACAGAGTACGTATGCCGCCACAGTTAAAAACCGTGCGCTCTTTGCAACTCTGCGTCTTAGCCTGGCGGGGATCCTCAAATTTCGAAATGTAAGGGCTTGGAAAATGCATGTTCTCGCCGTTTTCGCGCTTTCTGATGTGGATTTTCGGATTCAGCGTTGCGGATAACCCCAGATAAGTTGATTTTTTAAAAGTCGAGTTTCTGCCCGGACACTGCCTTTAACTGCGACGTCAGAATTTGGCAAAACTGTAGTTATGCCTGTAGCTTACGTCATAGCCTACATAAGGACTGAATTTGAGTGCGTCATATCCAAAGAGAGAAAAGTTATAAAAGTAGTTGCAAAACTTAGTTAACAACCTAATATAAGGCTGACCAGAAAATAATTCCTGTTAAGTTCAAGCTCATAACTTGTTTCAACGCTGGCATTTACAAGCCAGTATTTCGGCTCATAGCCACGCGAGTTCTTTGTCAACTGGTTCCGAGCTTTGCGACGAAAATTGAGGAAACTTATTCAAGCAAATGGAAAATATCTCATTGACTGAGGTTTGTTCATAGAGATTATATAACAAAAACAGTTTTATGCTCAAACCGAATTATTTATTAGCCAACCTAATGCCGGGCTGTCCTGAAACTTGTGTCGGTTTTTTTCATCTCGCTAAACTCATAGAACATCGGTCGGTGGACGAATTAGTATCGCTCGATTCAGATTTTTATCCTCTTTCTTATAGTTATATTTCCCTTCTGACCTACGCTATCTTTGCGGTGTTATCGCCATGGCTCTTCACGCTGCTCACCGGTAGCGCCAAATCTCAAATGTTATGTAGAGTGGACCTGTGGCTACATCGTGCCTATTTCGAATTACATAGGTCACGTTTATCATTCTGTAATGGTTATTTATTTGGGGAAAACCGCGGCTTTTTGATTACGTGATTCCAAAAAGTTGATTTTTTGAAGCAAATCAAACTTGGATATGTTGTATAACTGATGTTAAATAACAGTTGTGTTTCAACTCGCAGAAACTTCGGAAGCTTACCCGTTTTGCTTGCGTTTTCCATGACTTTACCAAAAATTGAGATCTCCGAAAAATTACATTTTTGAGGCTAACCACAGCAGAACAGGAGAATCTAAAAATACCACCGTATGGTCCGAGACTTGCTCTAATTCCATCTTACTTACATATTTTCAAAACTTTGGAATAATTTTTAAGAACTAGCCAAACTTTGAGCAGATAGATAACGGATGAAGACTTTTGGCAATTTTCAGAAAAAGCGCAGAGGAATCCGGTTCAAAAATGTATCTATGAGAAAAGGAGAAGCTGCACCAAATACGTGTTGAAACTCATCTAGAACTTTATTGTACCTGGTTTTATAGTCGTTTGAAAACACCGACAAAACTTTCTGGACAACCTAATATAAATAGCAGGCATGAAATGAAGGCAGTTATCCGAGACTGCACCGGTGCGAAGGTATAGCTAATCAGGTAGAGTAAAAATATGTGAAAGACTATATCCATATTTTCATACGTCTCAATACCTCGTATGACATTTTACTCCTTTGCCAACAACAAGTTAAAATTGAGTTGAAATTGTTGCAAAAAAGAACTTGCCGTG